ATATATATATGTATATCTAAATAATACATTAATGTCCAAGTACAGTATCTATTATAAGCCGTTGCGTTAAAAGGGCATAGTAAGAGCGCTGGACTGAACCCTTGCTGAAAGAGGAGCGGAAGCGATCGATGAATCGACGATCCGTGAAACGTCCGTCAGAGCGAATAAGCACTTCTGATACTCACGACACAGAAATTGTAATTGGATTCGCAATCCGCGACGTTCGCCGATTTCTCGTGTGTCGCTGCGTAATTTTCATAAATTCGCGATGGTATAAGGTGATCAAGCGTGGTCCCACTAATCAAAATCAATTAATTTTTTTATCCTTAGGTGTACCACTGGCAAAGTCAAAATGTCAAAATTTCCGGGGTGGACGATATGGTCCTTCTACCGAAGATCAATGAAGATGCCATCATTGAGAACCTCAAGAAGAGATACATGGACGATTATATATTTGTATCCTTTTTTACGTAAAATGCATAATTTTGAAAAGACATTTTCAGATAGCTTAATTGACCGTGACGAATAATTCATAAATGTTCCTTAAAATGCTATCAGACGTGTATCGGACCCGTATTGGTATCGGTTAATCCTTTCAAACAAATGCCATACTTCGGAGAGAAGGAAGTCGAAATCTACCAAGGCGCGGTAAGAGTGAAAATGCTATTTTTCTCGTTAGAAAACGTAAGGAAAGTCTATGTCATTTTAGGCACCGTACGAGAATCCACCGCATATCTATGGACTGGCGGACGAGATGTATAGAAATATGCTGATCGACAACGAAAGTCAATGCGTTATTATTAGGTAAATTGACAAACGCTTACTTGCATTAAAACAATCTTACGTTAATAAAAATTTCAGTGAAATATTTATACGTTATTTGATATTTTGAAATATTTATTTAATATATTAATCGGATATTAATTTAACATATTAACCGAATATTAATTGAATATACTAATCGAATGTTAATTTAATATATTAATTGAGTATTAATTTAATATATTAGTCGAATATTAATTTG